GGCGTGGTTGGGTGGGGGGGGGCCCGCAGCGCTGCCGCGGCCCGCATGCGGCGCCGCGCCCGAGGACGTCTCGTGAGGCCTGCCACCGACTGCAATCCCCTCGACCCTCCACAGGTGCGCTGGCCAGCTTCGCCGCCGCGACCGAGTTCTCCTTTGGCTCCGTGGTCCAGAGGGTGATGACCTGGCCGGGGGCCGTGCGCTTCCACTATGGCCACCCAGACATGTGGAACAAGCTGTTTGTGATGACGCGCGGTGGCGTGTCCAAGGCGACCAGGTGTGTGAGGGTTGTTGCTGAAGGACAGTAGGCTGTCGGCCGGGCATCAGGGTGGGGTCTGTGTTGTGGGCGCGGCGGTGGGCTCGCCTTTGCCAGCCCTCCCTGTGGATGCGGGGCATGGCACCCCTGCCATGCACCTGGCCTCAAGCCCTCACCAAAACGACGCCAGGGGGTTCCACATCAGCGAGGACGTGTTTGCGGGGTACAACCACACGCTGCGTGGCGGCAAGACCAAGTTCAAGGAATACATATCCGTGGGCAAGGGGCGGGACATGGGGTTCGACTCCATCAACTCCTTTGAGTCCAAGGTGTGTGGGGTGGGCCGGGTATGCAGGAGCCTGGGCCGACCCAGCGCGCTGTCTGGGGGCCAGGTCTCCTGGCCACCGGCTTGGGATCTGCCACCTCAGGATTCCTTCCTTCGCCTCACCCCCTCCCACTGCACCCTGCAGGTGTCTGGCGGGAATGGGGAGCAGGCCATGTCCCGTGACCTCTTCCGCATGTGCTCCCGATTCGACTTCTTCCGCCTCATGGCCTTTTATCACTCGGGTGTGTGGAGGCTTGGGAGGGGGAGGGGGAGCATCACACATCTCCATGCACTCTGGCCTGCTTCCTTGTGCTGGAGAGAAGGGGACCTCGCCCAGAGCATCTGCCTTGTCATGCCGACGACATGCCCAAGGTGCAATCGAACAAGGAGTTGGGTCCACATGTCGGGCCAGAGCCCCCCTTCCATCCACCATCGTCCTCCCACACCCACCCCGAACCCTGTGTCCCCTCTCCCCCCGCACAGGTACCGGCTTCTTCATCAACAGCTTCCTCATCATGACCCTGGTGTACCTCAACATCTGGGTGATCCTGGTGCTGGCCCTGACCAACTCCATGCTGGTTGTCGACCCCTACACCCTCACCGTGATCAACGCGCTGACGGGGCAGGCGGTGGCTGTGTCGGTGAACCAGGCGGTGCAGCTGGGCATGCTGTCCATCATCGTGTTTGCCGTGGAGCTCCTGCTGGAGTATGGCATCGTGAAGATGCTGGGCACGCTCCTCGTCCAGTTTGTCCAAGGTGCCTGGCAGGGAGTTCCAGGAGTGGGAGGTGATGCATTGACGGCTGAATATGTGCCAGGTCCCGAAGGGGGGTGCGCGGTGCTTGGAGGGGGGGCCGTGGCCACCACTGCTCCCGCTCTGAGGTCTGCAGGGATGGATTGTGGGGTGTCATGACGGACAGACCGCAAGGGGGCCCACCCCTTGCATGCCGGGGTGGAAACTCGCAGCGCACAGGGGCTGAGGCTGCCAGCATCACCCCTTCCACCCCCTGCACCGCCCAGGGTCCCTGGCCTTCTTTACCTTCCGGGCGCGCACGAGCGCCTACTACTTCATGAGCGACGTGCAGTACGGCGGCGCCAAGTACATCCCCACCGGCCGCGGGTACGCCATCAAGCACTCGTCCTTTGTCAAGGTGTACTCCAGCTACGCCCGCAGCCACCTCTACTTTGCGGCGGAGCTGGTGTACCTCCTGGTCTTGCTGGCCCTCATCGACACCACGGCAAGCCCTGGGGGGGGGGGTTGGGGGGGGGGAGGCCGGGGGCTGGGGCCGCCCCGTCGTGTGTGTGCACGGAATGCGAGCTGTGCTGGTGTATGGTGTGCCGATGCCCTGGCCCTGGTGCCAATCCCAGCATCACTGCCACTGGCGATGCAGGACTATGGCGCGCTCACCTGGTCGACCTGGCTGGTGGCCGTGTGCATCCTGTGGTCGCCCTTCTGGTTCAACCCCCAGACCTTCCAGCTGGAGAGGTGCGTGGCTGGGTGCAGGAGGAGGCGGAGGAGCAGGGCGCTGCCCTGCGAATGTCAAGGCTGGCAGCCAGCCTGGCCCCGCCTCCCACGTCACCGCGCAGGTGCAAGGACGACTTCGAGGCCTGGATCCTGTGGATGACGGATGTGATTGACAGCGAGGCTGGCAGCACCTGGTGAGTCGGGTGCACTGTCTGGGAGAGGGAAGCCCCGGCCCACCACCTCGACACCCAGTCTGCGCCGTGTGTGGTCAACGCATGGTGGGTCCCTCCTGCCCAAGCCCCAGGCATCCTTGCCCTGACGTCCTGCAGGGCCGGACCCCTGCTCCCATGATGAGAAATTCCAGACCTGATGTTCTGGGGATGGTCGGCAACCCTGCGCCCCATCCCAACCCCAAAGCTAGCCAATGATCTGACCACCATCTCGCTGACGCAGGTACTCATGGAACAAGTCCAACCTGGAACGCATCCGCAATGAGAAGATGAGCCTGAATAATCCGATGGCCACCAGCCTGCGTGGGATCGCCGGGGCGCTGCCGACCGCCGTCCTCGCCCTCGCCGCCATCTCCACCCTGACCAACACCAGCATCAACCGGTGGGTGGCAGGGTGTGGTGGTGATGTTGGGAAAGCTGGATAGCGGTTGAAGCTGGGACACAAGGGCACGTGTCTACACCTGGTGCGACTCGACTCCCGGACTCGACCCCTGCACCTGCAGGTGGGTCATCTTTGGCATCGCATCAGGGGGCTTCTGGACGTTCATCCTCGTGGTGTGGGTGGTCAGGCGCGTGCTACTCTCCAACTACTACTACCGGCTCTGGAGGGCGATGCGCACGTTCTGTTTCCTGGCAGCCATAGCCTTCCTGGTGAGTGGGAGCGGGGTTTGGTTGGCTTGGCCGTGGTCAGACAACGCACATCGCCTGCAGGAACGCAGTATGCTCAGGTGCACCCTCCCACCAGGAGCAGCACCTCGACTGCAACAGCCTCTCCGCACCCTCCTTCAGGTCTGCTGCGTCATCTTCATCCCAGGAGGCTTCTCGGCCGGGGTCGGGGTGAAGAACCTGATCATCATCATCTTCGCCAACATGTCTGCCGTGTCGGTGGCGACACAGGTCGGTTTGGAGGCTGCTGCTCCCGCAGGACAGGGATCGGGAGGCAGGGGCAGGGAATGGGGGTGATGCAAGCACTGGCCGGCCCACAGCAGCCTGCTTGGCACCCCTGAAATCCAGCACCACTACCATGTGTGTCTCGCCCTCCACCCCAGATCCTGCTGTATGGTTGTCGAGACTCCATCATGGCTCGGCACATCGTGGATGCTTCCTACAGGTCTGTGCTGGCCTGCTGACACGGAGGCTTCTGGTCCGTGCAGACCCGCATATGCAATGCAATCCTGGCCCTCCGCCAATCATCACCTCTCCCCACCCTCATGGCCACCTAGGACACTGGACTGGATCCTGGGTTACATTTTCTTCAGCTTCCTCTTCCTGTTGTCGTTCATCCAAGTCGTCGACATGCTGCAAGGAGCCATGCTCTACAACATGAAGTTCGCCAAGGCCTTGCAGGTATGTGCCAGGGTCCCCCGCCTCCCTTGTAATAATCCCATCCATGCCCATGCTCCCGACTGTCTAACTGTGGTCCTCGCCCCTCCCCCAACACACAGCGCTCTCGCCTCATGGAATCCAATTTCCTGCCCAGCTACGTGGATAGAGCCATGGAGCGACTGTCCCATACCCTCCAGGAGGAGATTGTGGTGAAGACCCCTCCAAGGCCGAAGCCGACAAAAGGCATCTGAGTGCCCCACATTGGAGATGAGATCTACATTGCCAGGTGTCATGCGCCGTGTCACTCAGGCCGGTGCCTGAACCGTTATGCTTTGAAGAGATTCTTAAGCCAATGGCTGTTCCCTTGGGACACCAATCATCCTCGGTCACATGCAGTACTTGCGCTAAGCATGACTGTACATGGCTTCAATTCATGCTGGTGCAGACACTGACATTCAAACCCCATTATGCACATTTACTCTTTACCAAAGCTCACAATATGCAGAGAAAGCTGTCGGATGGCTTCTCATTGAGATATAGTAGGAAGAGTTGTTGGATTCCCCTTTGATCAGATCTGACCGCGCTCGCTGTCTCGGAAGTCGTGGTCGGGGGACCAGATGCCCGGCCGGGTGCTCGTATTTCTCACTCATACGTTGGAATATGGGTCTATATAATTCCAATAAACTATCTTGCTCGCATATGCTCCCGAGGACTGCATGAGGCGGGGACCTTGCAGTCATGGACGCATTCGACGAGAGCTTGCTCACAGACAGCGACGGAGAGGATGACAAGAATGTGGGCTGGATGGGGAGGATGCATGGGAACAGCAAGCGTTCTCCGCCTGCATGCCCTGCAATGTACCCGCGTGCGTCATGCATGCCAGGCTATGATGCACGTCCCATAATCTCTCCACAGACACTGGCTCCAGCGTCAAAGGAGCAGCTGGTCTTCCTCATCCAAGGGCACGAGAGTCTGTTGGAGCTTGCTAACCTGGAAGACGAGGTGAAGGAGAGGCATTCTCGCTTTCCCTGGCTCTAGCTTAGGAAGTCCCCGGGCTGCAGGCTAAGGAGACCAGCCCCCTCCCCTGACACAAACTCACCCTTCAGGAGTTTGAGGGGCTGACATGGCTGCAGATTGCATGCCGCGTAGTTGCTGCCATCCTGCGCCAGAAGGTCATTGCCTCTGGTGCCGACGAGGTGGCATGCATCTTCTTCAACACGGTACGAGGTCTGATGGGTGGTTTTCTACAGTCAACCAACCAGTAGGTGAGCCCTGCACATATCTCAGAGCTCCATATCTTGCACCGTCTGCCCTTTGCTGCCTGCAGAAGCAGTCCGTGCATAGCACTGGTGTGGGCGACTTCATCCACATCTTGCAGGACCTTGGTCAGCCAGACGTCGAGCGCATCCAGCAGCTTGAAGCCTTCGACGGTGAGGAGGTGGGAGCGAGGTATATGGTGCATCCACCTTGCCACGCTGTCCAGAGATTGTGCACCCTCTCAGGACTCATGATGCCACTCCTACATTCCATGCGCAGTGCCCCTTTTCCGGAATGAAGTCGAGCTCGCTGAGGACTGCGCGACCGGTGCTGGTTTGAAGAATGCCCTCTGGCAGACCAACCTCTGGTTTGGCCCCCTCAGTGGGGCCCGTGTGTCCCGGCGCATCATCTGTTTTGCTCCCGGGGCCGCCCCTGCCCAAACAGGCACCCAAGTCTGGTGCGTGGATGGAAGTTTCAGGAAGTGAACGCCTGAGCATGGGGGACCTTGACGGCGCGGACCATGACCGAAGTGGTCACTCAGGCCCCTGTCCCTGCATTGCCGAGTCGGCCACCCCAACCTGGGTTGCCACGTCCCCACCTCACGCCGCCAGGAAGGGACTGCTGCGCAATGTGGAGGAACTGGCCGGAAAGGGAGTAACTCTCCAGGTCATTCCCCTGCAGCGCCCGGGCTCCAAGTTTGGGTTTGAGGCTGTGTGGCAGCACATCTTTGACAAGGTACCGGCTCTAGCTGGGGGGTTTGGGGGGGGGGTTGCCAGCAATACACTCTTGCAGGGTCACCTCTTCATGTATGACTCATGATCAGACTGCCACTTCCAAGCACGCACGTAAAGTCTCTGTCTCTGTCTTCACTTCATTTTGTACCGCCTTCAACACAGATGGAAGACAAATCGCTGTCCTCCCCCAGCAAGTTTGGGGGCGTTCCGGTGGAGCCAGAACGTTTTGGCAAGCTGCAGGTATAGAGTGGGCGCTGAAGGGGGCGCTGAGCTGAGGAGGTATCCACATGTCACCGCCATTCGGAGCCTGCAGGCCATATTCTTGTCTCCATCGCCAACACCTGCTGATTTTCCCAAGTATGATCCTCCTTTGCACAATGCAGGACCTCAAGAGCACAGTTCGTGCCAAGGCGCACCAGCAGCGGTCTTTGGGCCAGTATCGCATGGTCCTTGGACCTGACCTTGCAATAACTGTGGCCATGTATGCCACCATGCAACCTGCAACAAAGGGGCAGGTGCTGGTGGGAGGCTGAGAGCTTGGCTGCCTACAGCAGGCAGGATTGCAGCTGGTATGAAGTATAGCCCAGAATGTTCCCTGGTCCAGTCTCTCACCAACCTCATGCCTCCCTTGCAGGCCCAATGGGTGCATGCCGTCACCAACGCCCCGCTCACGATAAGCAGTGCCCTCATCGACAATGACACTGGTGAGACGATGGGTCTGATAGGATTGTTTTACATTTGTTGCTGTACCAAATGAAGCTGATAAGCAGTGCTGCATCCAGTTGCACGAGAGGTCACTTGACGGCATGGACGAGAACCGTAGGAGCGGTGCTGGGCGAGATGCCGGAGGCAGACATGCAGGCTCCCAAGCTCTACTTTCCAAACACCAAGGACGCACACTACAAGTATGCCAACTTTCCAAAAGTGAGAGTGCTGTGCCAAAGACGGTGGGTTGCGTACCCAGGAGGTCTGAGCGTTGTGTCTCTGCAGGCAACTGTGTGAGGAAGCGCTGTTTGCCTGTCGTGTGCCTGTGACCACTGCAACTTTTGCAGCAAGGCATAATGACTTGGTGTGCGCAGAAGGCACCAGATGCAACGACCTCATTCCCTCCAATATTCTCGTGCCGCAGGTGTACTTGGAGCCACACGAGATTCAGAGCGTGAAAGCTGCGCCCCCCCGCACCATTCGGGTGCTGGGCTTCAAGTCCACATCATGTCTCAAGGAACACCATCAGCTCCGCAGCTCATCGTTCGTCTACCCTGGTGAGGTGGTGGGAGACAAGCAACGTGGAGAGGCTGATGCAAAAACTGTGCGACATCAACTCTGTGGTATTTGCTGGAGTTTGAGACTGTCTGTGATTAGTTGGATGGGTGTGGAAAGTCTGCAGCTTGCTATTCAGAAACTCCATCAGCTCGACCCCCCCTTCTCCCCTGCTTCATCACACACTTTGAGCAGACGACAGCGGGGGTGCCCGGGAGCAGCCAGGTCTTCATCGCGCTGCACAGCGCCATGCTGGACCAGGATCAGGTGGCGTTTGGCGTGTTTGCGCGAAGCCACAGCGGGGGCCTGCGCCTCGTGGCACTGCTGCCGCAGGAGGCGGTGAGCGACGAGGAAGGGAGCCAGGTGAGGCCCTGGTGTGCTGTGCCGGGATTCAAATTTGGAGGAATTGAATAGGTGCGGTGCCTGCGTCGCCTTTCCATGCCGTGCAAGGAATGTGCTGCTGGAGCCCCATCACCACTCCTCCGCCTGCCTGACTCAACAGCTCGCGGCCCCGGGGTTCCATGTCATCTACCTGCCTTTTGCGGACGATGTGCGGCAGCCCGAGATGGACAGGGCCTTTACTGGATCCCAGGTGTGTGTTAGGTATGGTGGGGATGGCCGTGGTTGCTCTGGCTGCAAACTACAATATCATGGCAGAACTTCTTTGTAGACATTTGGCAGTCCGGCCTCACTCGTGAAGATGTGTCTGCTGGCCGCAGAAAAGGAAGTGTCGATCTCCATCGAAGTAAAGGATCTCTGGCAACAAAGTCACACAAGTTGCTGATGGGATGCACATGTTGGCGTTGCCCTGCAGGTCGTGGAGCCCACGGCCGCACAGGTGGCGGCAGCGGATGCGCTCATCGCCCACCTCCAGCTGGGAGAGTTTTCGAGCGACATCATTGCTAACCCTCACCTCCAAAGGCACTACCAGGTGTGAACTTGTGGGTTTGGCCGGGATGCTGAGCTGGTGGCCAGGGATGCAGCGTTTCCTGCCCTGCAGAACGGGTTTCATGTGCGGGAGGTGCACCGCCTCTTTCTCCTCAGGTGTTGGAGGCGCTTGCCATGGGAGAAGAGCCCGGCGAGGATGTCATGGACGATACCCTCCCAGATGTGGAGGCATTCAGGGCTGTCGGACCAGTGGTCCGCGCCTTCAGGGTATGTTGCAGCATGTGTGGGTGTTTTTGTGTCTTGGAGGGAATGTTCCGCTGACAGGAACAGGGCGCGATTCCGACTCGGATTCTCTCCGCTCCTTTATGGCAGGAGGCTGTGACGGTGGCAGAGGCCTCACCCAGCCCAGGCAGCAAACGGAAGGGAGCTCCGCCGTCCAGCGGCACCCACAGCGAAACGTTCGATGACGACGCCTGCATTCAGCAAGTGCAGGTATGCATGCCGCCTGGGCAACTGGTCCGGGGCTCACACTCTACTCGTCTGATGTATCGATGCACCAGTTCCTGGAACTGCAACCCTCTTCTGTTTGGCCAATAGGCTTAACAGCCTTGTCCCATTTCTGCCCCCCAGGTGGCCGCCGAGGCGGGCACTCTCGGAAAGCTCCCCATTTCCACCCTGAAGCCTTGGCTGAAGGCGAAGCACCTGCCAGTCTCCGGGAGGAAGGACGAGCTGGTGGAGAGGATCCTGCAGCACATGTCATGATAATGTGTGGGACAGATGGGGGCAAACACACTGCTCCACAGGCGCCCATTTCTTCAGCCCCTGCTCGACAACGATGACTGACTCCGGTCTAGGAATCATCTCGTTTCTCAGCTCCAATATCTGCTCTCAACTGTTTTTGCAGGATAAGCGCCCTTGTATACAGTATGTGCGTCCCCAATCCTAGATCTATCATGTCCATCTTGGCAGCCTTGTGACACGACTGTATACAATGCGTTGCAAAGAGGGTGGCTCAAGGCAGGCGCTGCAAGATGGTGTCAACGCCAGCGCCTGTGTTTGCTGCAGCAGCCAAAATGAGGCCGGGAAAGCCCCTCAGGCGGTGCTGCCCTGCTGGGCCAGCACCCAGCCAGCCAGCTCCTCCAGCACCGGCATGCCGTGGAAGCGCGCCACCCTCTCGAACACCCGCACCCTGGCCAGTGTCTCCGCGGCCGGCCGGCAGGTCGCCAGCGGGCCGCCACAATGGTCGCACTGGGCGCGCAGGTGTTCGGTGGCCACGCTGTGGCACTTGAGGCACTGCAGATCCTGGAGCACGGAGGCGTCACACAGCGTGCCCAGAGCGTCGCCCAGCGCGGACTCCACCTCCACAGGGTCGCGCGGGGCGCCGCATGCGCCGCAGCGCCAGTCGTGGGCCTGCAGCTACATACGTGGATTGGGGAGGGGGTGCGGGTGATTGGGATGCAGGAGGAGGCAACTCTGCCTGCCAGGCCGTTGCATGGCACCAGCCCCTTGCCCCGCGGGCATGACAGCGCAGCAACAAAAGAGCCCATTCCGTCCACCCACGCCCGGCACGCACTGCGGCAGCACGGCCCCTGCTCGATGCAGCGTACCTGGGGGTCCTTGCACACGTCCAGATCCTGGCAGTCCTGGCAGTGCGGGCAGATGACGTCACGCAGCACGAGGCTGGCGCAGGGATCCTGTGGGGGTTCAACGGCGATGAGGGGGATGACAACGACTTGCAGGCTGGAGTGAGGGGGCAGCTCGAGAACCTTCATACCTGAACAGCAAGGCGTTCTCAAGGGTGAAACCCAATGTTGACCCACCTGGAAGACGGCCTCGGCGCTGAACTCCTTGACGTGCACCATGCGCAGGAGTTGGCGACGAAGGACCAACACCTGATCGAGAGCGGGAGGAGCAGCGTGAGTGAGCGCTGTGTTCAAAAGTTATGACCAGCGATCACTGTGCTTGTGTCCAGGCAGCCATGCATCTTGGATTCCTGCCAGCAAACACCCCAAAGCACCTGGTCAGAGACAGAGGCGTCCAGCGAGAACACAGCACAGATCGACTTTATGAAAGCCATCACCGGAGTCCCAAGCTCCTCCTGGGTGATAGGTTGCAATGACCAATGTTTGGGAGCTTGACGAAGGCGTTCTGGGTTGCTCTGTGGCATTGCATTTGGGCCATGGGAATGCAGGCTGGGTGGCTAGAGCAGTCGTTGCTTCCCTCAACAGCAGCGCCAGTCGAGACGCAGGCTGCTCAATTCGACCCTTTGATCGCCAGACCAGCCCACTCACCGGAGAGAGGTGAGACCCAGCACGCTCGGGGAAAGCATGGGCCTCGATCCCATCGTTCGCTCCAACGTGCATTGATATGTACTTGACGTACTTCAAGAGGTTGGAGGTGAACTGATTGGGCAAGGCGGTCCGCAACCAGAGCGTCTGCGCCTCCAGGCTCTGTGAGGTGTCCTTGCTGGCCTGCAGTGGGAGGGGTGCAGGGCCGAGTCCTGATCTTCACCCTAACCACCTCCATGGGTTCCGGACACCACAGTGCAGCCTGCAGATGGACTGCCAAAGCAGGTGCAAGATGCAGCGTGCACGAGTGTGCAGGCAAAGTACACAGCATCCTGGGACTGCCATGATGTGTCCGACCAGGATTTGTCTCCCTGCGGTGGCCTTGCCATGCAAACCTATCTGGTAGACTGCAAAATCGATGTCAAATGGTCTGCATCTCACCTGGGAGCCTCCCTGGCTGGGCCCTTTCTCCAGTCCCTGCATGGCGGCTTGCCATGGGAGCCACAGGAACTCTGTTACCAGCGTCATGAAGGTGGCATGCAGGGCAGACGGCAAGAAGTCCTGCATGGAGAGCTTGAAGGCTGTGAGGTGGAGGTCTGGGCTCCTCATCTGTCGGAAGCGACTGCCTGTGTCTGCTTGCCATATTGAGGGGCCCAAGATCTGCACACGAGCCCCTTGCCTTCCAAACCATACATCCTCACGTGCCTTCAGTGTGAAGTGGTAGTCGAAGCGAGGGGCGTTGAGCTCCTCTGCACTCACCTCCAGCTTCTCTCCATGCGTCTGTAGCAGGCGTGCCTGTGACATGGTGCGTGGGAGAGGGTGCTAGGCCTCAAAAGGCGGCAGAAGGCGTGAGGCCTTGGCGCTGAGTGGCAGTGGACCGCGGCCGGTGCTGCTTCTTCAGGCCCATGTACTGGGAGCCGTCACTCGCCCCACTGGCTCGCAGTGGCCCCCGCACCTCTGCAAGGGATCCGGTCTGTCCCAGGGCATCCATGAAGACGGCGGGCACCCGTGCCGCAATGCCAATGTAGTCATACCTGGCGAGTGGTGTGGGCGGTGTGTGAGTCATGGCTGCATCACGTGGGTGGCAGGGCAGAGCGGCCCTGCCCATGGGCGACGCGGGCAGCCTCGTCGTGCGCCGACGAGCCACTCTCACGCTTTTCTGCAGGCCCAGTTGGCACACCTGTCCTTGTAGAGCAGGGCGTGCCACATGCGCGTGGGGGTGAAGGAGAGGTACTGCAGCAGCTCCCGCTTGCCCAGCGTCTCCAGGATGTAGTCGATGTAGCCGACGGCGGCGGCCAGGTTGCGTTTCCCCGTGCACAGGATGAGGGAGGTCGCGTCCGCGTGGACCACCGTGACCCCCAGCCGCCGCAGCTCCGACACGAGGTGCAGCAGGAGCTTGTGCATCAGGGATTGCACCGTCTGCGTGCGGTTAGGGAGGAGGGAGGGAGTGTGTGTGTGTGGTGGTGGGGGGGGAGGTCCTGTGTGCATTGGGCAGAGCCGACGGTCTCGCTCGTGGGCTGCGTCATGGGCCCCAAGCCATGCGGTACGGCCACTGGACTGCTGTTTCTCTCAGAGGGCAAGCCGAGCGAAGGGTTTGTGTCTCAGAGAGTAAAGCTTGTCCTGCAAGAAAAGGGGCATAATGTGCCGCCCACCCCCCCCATCCGCCCCCACACCTCACCTGCTTCAGGGCGGGGTCGTGGAGGCGCGAGGCGGGCGAGCAGATCCAGCGGTACATGTTGAGGAGCAGCGTGTCGGCGCACCTGAGTATCACCAGGGGTGGGGGATGAGTGGGGCAGGGGCGCACCTGGGGTGAGCGTCGGCGCCCGTGCGCCGCAGCGCTGGGCGACACTCTCCATGCGCCCCCATCCCCGCGTGCTTGCCGCGCCCGGGCACCGGGCGGTCGCCCCGGACCCCCTCCCCCTCTCAACATCACTCACACGTTGGAGTGGCGGGAGGCGTCGTCCAGCCATGCCTGGGCCAGGGAGCGCAGGACCACAAAGGCGGCCCCGCAGCCCTTGCCATCGTCCACGAGGGCTGTGCCCTCTAACTCCGACAGGGCGGCCGCCTGCATGGTGCGGGGGCCGGGTGGGACAGGCTTGTTGAGCCATGCCAGATCCCCCTCGACCCAGCCACTGGAGCGTGTGCTCCAGGGCTTCGCACACTGCGCTTCCCCGTGCGAGGTTCCCAGGCCCCACACCCCAGGCGGACGACCCTGGGGCCAGCCCTCACCTCCAGCACGGCGTTCACGGCCAGGTGGGTGAGCCTGACCTCGCAGCACACCGTGCGGTACACGCCCGGCGCGGCGACCTCGGTGCGCGTGCGTTGCTCCTCCAGCAGCAGCGCCTCCGCGCGGTCCGGCGGCCGCGCCGCCAGGCTGCCGCCAGCGGTCGCCGCGTCGGGGGTGCTGACCCACAGCAGGTGCCCCGCGGCGCGCAGCTGGCGCGCGAACAGCGCATCGGCGGCGTCGATGGCCCAATCTCGGCCCATGCTCGCGACGGGGAGGTGCGCGTAGCGCGCTGCTTGCAGCCGGGCCTGCGCGGCGAGGGTGTGTGGCGTGGGGGGGGGCGTGTTGCCGGCCGCGGCGCGGTATGCCGGAGGGGTGGTGCATGGGGCAAGCTGTAGAGGCAGGACGCCCAGGGTAAGGGAGTGGCTCAGCGCAGGGAGCGGCCAGCCGGGTCATCAACATTCCCCCCCCCCTCCCACTCCTCTACGACCCCTCCCACCTCCAGCCAGGCGGGGCAGGCCAGCGCCTGGGACGCTGCGGCACGCAGGGCAGGCAGCTGCCAGCCCAGGGCGGGGAAGGGGACGGCCTGGGCGGGGGTGGACACGGCCGTGGTGGGCCAGTCTCGCAAGCTGGGCAGGGACTGGCGCAGGGTGCTCTCCTCGGGGGAGCTGACCAGGAGCAGGGTGGGGCCCAGGGCTCGGTCCCTGGGATTGGGGGCGGTGCATGGGCAGATGCTCCAGTCGACAGCCGGGATGAAGGTTGACCCCCGACACTTGCACGTACATGAGGGACTCGCCCAGAGTGCATGGCAGCACGCCCAGCCCAGCTTGATCAGCCCCATGTTGGGTGGTGGAAGTGCAGGAGCTTCACCGCGACGCACCTGAGACCCAGGAGCAGTCTGTTGATCGCGGTGTATGCCTGCGCATCCGAGCGTGCATAGGAGATGTCCATGGCCGGCTGTGTCGGCAGCGTCTGCAGGTTGGGAGGTGCATCGGAGGTGTGGGTTGGGGAGGCCTCCTGTCACTTTGGAGGGCCACCGAGACTCGTTGAGCGGCGCTTGCTGCTTCATCCAGGGCCACTGCCGTGTCACTGCACCGCTCGTCTTGAGGAGTTGTGGTCCAAGCGATTGGCGGCTGCCTGAAACTCGGCTCCCTGCCACCCCACCATAGCATGCATCCACGCACCCCGGCGGGGTGGTCTCCACGCTCCAGCACCGCTGCGGTGGCTTCCGTCCACACCCGGGTGGCTGCCCCCTCGGTTATCTCGGCCTGGCTCCTTGGCGCCGGGTTGATCACCCAGATGTGCAGCCTGGGGTGGAGGTGGCGAGTGAGGTAGCACGCATCCCCATGTCGAGGGAGTGGGGGCTGCACAGCAGATGCCAGGTGAAGGTGTACTGCATCAGTCTCATCAGGGTTGCCCTCCGATCCTGTGCGTCACTGCCCAGCCTGAGCCCAAACATCAACCCATCCCCCAGCACACCTTTGATCGACAGGCACGTGGAGGATGAGGAGGTGCAGGCCCCGTCCGGCATCAGAAGTCTGGCACAGCGCCATGTGGCGCAGGACCCCAGGCTCCAGATAATCGCACTGGGGGAGCATTGCGCAGGGAAGGGGGCCTTTATTGCGGTGGTGGTGTAGTCTTGGCCATCAGGCGTTACGTGCATTGCCAGCAAGACTCCCTGACTCTACATAATCCCAACCACTGAGCTGCTGTGAGCCATCCAGGCCATGCCCTCGGGAGGGTTCTGGATGATCTGCCGGATACACAGCTCCATCCTCGAGCAGTCTGTGCCCTCACACTCGCGCCCAGCACGCCCCACCGACCCACCTCTGTGACCGTCTTCATGCCCAGCTCAGCTAGGTCCACCCCTGAGCCAAGGTTCCGGGCCTCCGATGGGGCGTTGAACGCGGTAACGCACCCCAACTGCTCACGGGAATCGGACAGGGGGTGAGGGAGCGCACGCAAAGGAGCAGAGGGGGCCAACCTTCTCATCCCCACTGCATCAATGGGAAGCAACCCCGGCGGGTTCCACAGCACAACTCATACAGTCCTGGTGACGTGTGCATAGCACCACCACCCTTCCGCCCAAGCAGGCGAGGAGGCCCCCTTGCACGACCAACCATTCGACAAAAGGTCTTCTCACCTGCAGGCAGGCGTTGTATGTGGGCGGCAGGGTGTCCTCGTAGACTCTGAGGGCCCGCAGCGCCAGCAAGCGCTCATTCAGCGCTGCCTGCTCGGCTCGGAAGGACGCCTCATCCATGACGATCTGGACCAGGGTCGCTGCGGCTGCACCGTGGGGCAGTGCACGGCGCGCCAGCACCCCCATGTCGGCCACCAGTGGGTGGCTGGGTGGGGCCAGCAGGTTGGCGAAGAAGGTGCGGGGGATGCGGAGCGGGATGGCGTGCATGCGCCCACCCAGGACGGCCCAGCATTTGTACACGCCTGTTGCGAGGGTGGGGTGGGGGTTGGGGGGGGGCAGGAGGTGTCATGAAGGGGTGTGTGTTGAGGTGTCAGCACTGCGGGTTTCGCAGCATGCGCTGGGGTCCCCTCCAGAGCAGGGCAGGGTAGTGCTTCCAGGCACGGCCTCGTGCCGCCTCCTACCCCGCCTGACCCATGCGGCCATGCTTCTGGGCGAATTCCTGCAGTCCTTTTGCTGGCTCCAGCTAGGTGCCACCGGCCACCCCGACCCTGCCACAGGATCTCTACCCAAGCCTACCTGGTTGCTCTGTGTGATCGATGCCCACCACCTGCCAGTGCAGGGAGGCAGCAGAGGCAGCCTGCTGCCGCAGCATGCCGGCCAGACCCCCTGCGCCTGCCTCCGGATTCTGGGCCGGGCCCTCCCTGCCGCCGCGTCGGTGGTTGGGCTCGGCCGCGGTGCGCCGCTTCTTGCGCGCCTCCACGCCCTGTCGCCACAGCCGCTTCTTGACCTCCAGCCACTGGGCGTAGTTTTCGTGACGGGAGGGGCAGGCCTCGCTGGGTGCCTCCTCCCCACTCGCAGGATCCTCCTCAGAGCTCAGGGCCGCCGCTCGGAGCGCCACGGGATACCCTGCAATGTGGCATGCACAGTGCTATTGGGGGCCACAAAAGCAATCAGACAGGTGGGATTGTTTCCGCTTCTCACTTAACTTTCATTGGAACCAATGATGCTGACTGTGTATGACTCCACAAATAGTGCGCCACATGCACTGCTGCATCTCTTCAATGCTGGGCAGCTGCAGCGTCCAACGTATACCCCATGCAGGCCCCCTTGTGTACATACCTTGGACCCTGGGCTGCTCCTCCTCCACTGGTGCATGTGGTGCTCCTGCCAGACCGATGCTGGGCTTGGCCGTGGCAGGACCCAGCATGGCGTCAAGCCGCCGCTGCTTGTGGGTGTCGGTCTTCTCTCGGACCTGCGTGGCCAGAGCAGTGGCGCCAAAGGGCCCTCAGCAAGAGCAGATACATCAGCGCAGGAGCAGCAGGCAGGGGCAGCCCCGGAAGAATGAGGACAAGCCCCCAGAGTGCGGCACAGGATGACCAGCTTCTGCCACGCGCCCATGGTCCATCTCCCGCGCCCCATGCCTCCCACAGATGCGGAATCTACCTTGCGCAGCAGCCAGTCCGGGTGCGCCACCCTGGGCACAGGGTTGGGAATCAGCTGCATGGCTGCAGGGATGGTGATGATCTTCTGGATGGCACTTCCCAGTCGCTCCCTGCGGATGGGGACAGTTGTCGTTTTGTGGTGAGCGGCTGCTCCTGTTGCGCACCCTCCTCCCAGTGCTTGCAGCATCCGAGTTTGGCCTAGTGTTATGGCCTCAAGCAAAGAGTTTTGTGCTCCTTCCCGGCCTCGTCCCCAAAGACTGCCTGAAACAAATCCAGGTTCTTGCACCAGTGCAGCCCAGACAAGCCGACATGTTTGCAGGGTACCTGTAGTATTGCCAGTCGACGATGCCCCTGACGTTCGGAACACTGTTTGGGCCAGCTGCATGTGTGTGTGGAGCAAGAAAGTGAGCTGAGCATTGCACTCCACCTGAGCCTGCGCGAGTGGCCATGCAGCTGGATGCGGTGGGCTCAGCGTCCCGAGCCTCGTCCCTCGACTCACAATCTGGGACGTCACCACACCAGCGGCGCAGGTACGTGCGCGCGATGGCCGGCTCCGTGGAGAAGATGGCCACCGGGATGGCGCGGCCGGACGTGGGTGCGCTGGAAGGGTTGCGGGCGATCACGTAGTTGCACACCAGGCCCTGTATAGCAGGGCAGGTGGGGAGGAGAATGAGGTGGCATGGTCATTCCACCACCTTGCCGCCTGGGACACGGTGTGCACACTGCATGTGGGGAGAATGCTTCAAAGAACGCCCTGCCAGGCAGGCGAAGCCGAACAGTGCATCGCAGCCCCCGCAAAAACCAAGCGCCTTGCCTTGTCCTTGATGCGCTCGTCCCCCAGGAACTGACTCAGGCGATTGGCGCAGGTGACGGCGCAGCTCTTGCGGCCTGTGGGTGATGCAGAGGGACGGCTGCTCTGGGCCGATGCTCAGCGGGCACAATGTGAACCATACAGTGTGCCAACCCTGTCGTATATCAGGGTCCACAGGCGGCCTGCAATGCACCGTGTCAACTGCGCCGTTCATCACATCTGCAACTCACCCTCATAGGCCTCCAGGCTCTTGGACATGACACACATCTCCGAGATGAGGTCCACGAGCTCTGTGTCTGTCAGGTCCGTGCCCTGCCGAGACGCCAGAGGTAAAGTGGCACGGGCATGAGCGGTCCAGGGCCTACCTCCAGGCATTCTTTGCACGCAGTGCAATGGGAGCCTGCAGGCAGGACCCCAAGTCCAGGACGCTGTCACGCGCCCATGGGTCTGCATTCAAACGGGCTGCACCCTCGACAGGAGCTCACCTGGGTGTCCAGCATGTCCAGCCAGCGGTTGGCCACCCCAGCCACGGCGTCATAGCAGCCCTGGAGGGAGTCGCCGCGCAGGAACTGGTCGAAAATCTCAGCCTGGAAGACCTTGATGAGCTTCAGCTCCCCACGACGCTTCAGCTCAAAGCCCTGAAGAGTTAGAGTGGCAGTCGGAGCCAGCTGAGTCCGTCGGGCTGCAGAGCCAGGCGAGCGCCAGCACTGAAGACCATGGGAGTCCCAGGGGCAGGGGTCCTCGAGGTGCGCATCCCCGAACCTCACCTTGAGCTCGGCCAGCGTGCCGTCGTGGTTGAACACGGCGTAGCGCTTCTTGATCAGCTTGCCCTCCTCCTTGGATGCCGGCAGGATCATCGCCTGCAAAGTTGGCGCCAAGGGAACCCGGCCGGAAGTTGCGCATGACTCCGCTCATATATGGGAAGGACACTACGTACCCAGGAATAGGGGCCGGGCCGGCTCCAAGACTGACCTTGTATGGGCCATCCACCTCGAATTCGATGCTCATGCGCGACTCGGTGCGATACTCTTTGGTTCGGTCATCGTGGAGGACCTGGCGTCGTGGATGGGTCGGAGCAGAGGCTGTCACCGTCGCACGGCGTGGAGTCAGGTCGCTGTCTAGCGCCTGGTGGTGCCCCACCAGATGGGCATGCCGGATGGAGATGCTCCCAAACGCATACAGATACACACAACTCACGATCCAAGCTTTTGCCACGAAACCGGAAGCACGCGCCTCACTCACAGCAAATTGGTCATTTGTGTTGTTGGCGGCGACCATGACGTTCAGCATCGCGCAGGGATAGCTCAGCTTGAAGGTCTTGCCGGACTGGGACTTGAACTGCGGGGCATGATGATGCGGGTGTGGAGCTCACGAGCGCATACATGTGCACAAGGAACGGGTCCCGGGCAGCAGCACAGGGATCCCCTTTCCCTCCCTCACCCCACGGCCGGGCACCTTGAACGTCTCTGGGAAGGACCCCGGCAGCGCACACCAGATGCCGTCGGTGTCCAGTTCCAGGGGCCGCCCAATCTGCCCGATCAGCTCGTTGGCGCGCTGTAGGGAGGGTGCAGGCGGACAAGAGGGGCCTGGGGCAGCCTCAGAGTGCATGCAAGGGGATTGCCAGCTTGCTGGCTGACCGGCGCCGACATGGTGTGAGGTTCACGCCGGCCGTCTTTCCCAGATCCCATGTCAATATGCCACGGAGGGATGCGCTCCCCTCGCACCTTGATGATGTTTGCCCCCGTGTGAGTCACTACGCCAGCCATCTCCATGCTGTACCAGCGAGCCCCTTTGCGCATCACGTATCCATAGAAGGAGTTGAGGATGCACTTGTGCGCCAGCTGGGGACGCGGGGTGGGTGAGGGTGCTGGGATGGAGTTTTGCAATGCATGGGGATTACAATGCAGGTCGGCGCCACGCTCCAGAGGTGTCAGTTTTTGATGGAAAGATGCAGGACCCGAAGTCATGACTAGACAGGGACGGACCAACTACGCAGCTGTTCCGCAACCCAAAGACTCAGACAACACGCTCTGCTCACCTGGAGTGAGTCGTAGAGGACGCACATGTCTGCTGCCTCCTGGATGCGGATGGGGTTGCCGGAAGCCTGCAAAAGCAGGGGTGAGATTTGGCACGTCATATCGCTATCCAAAAGATCCCACCCAGACTGCACCATGCTGGACCCCCACCCGGTCGTCCACCTCCTGTCACACCTTGGCCTTGTCCAGCCTCCCCTTCCATTCCTTGTTCAGACCCTTGTACTCATACCGCCGATCCCTGCAGTGCGGAGGGCATCATTGTCCCATCAGGTGGGCCGCCTGTCAGCCGGCCGGGGACCGCACAGGCAACGCACCGTCGCCGTCTTCGGACCCCAGGCCCGCACCCCTGTCGGGGTTGCTGCGGCATCCTTGGTCTGTACTTGACTGCAAGCAGGCAGGCAAGACCTCTGCAGGCACTCACCTGAAGGACTCGACGGTATCGTAGTAGAATGAATTCTCTCTCTGGCAGATTCCTGCGCTCCTCAGCTCCGTAGTGGGCTTGTTCAGGACTCGCTTGTACACCTGCACCCAAGTGGTGGGTCGTGGGAATGGCCCTAGAGATCGGTCCCGGCTGCTGACAAGGGTCGTGCATCGCGTGGCAGCGGGGCACGTTGCTGAGATGCCGTCGTGTCCGAGCCTCCAACCTTCACAACACACCGCCTGCACTGACTGGCCCCCCCCGCCCGCACCTTCTGGCAGTAGCCCTTCAGGCGAGCCTTCAGGTTCTTGCTCCGCTCTTCGCTGGTCAACTCGTACCAGCTGCGCTGTGGCGCCCCAGGGCCGAGGGGCGGGAACATCTCAGACTGGAGCTGTGTCTTCAACGAAAAGTACTCGGTCCGTGTCGCTGCAGGGGGTGGTAGATTGGGGTTGTGTGGGCTTGGACGAGAGGGAGGCGGACTGGCTGCAAACTCGGCACCTTCGGGCAGGCACTGGACCATCCTGGCGAGGTATCTCAGGGAGCTGTGCATAAGGGCTGCCGCCTCAGCCAGGAAGCAGTCGCTCCACAGACGTCCCCCCAACACGTACCAGAGAAGGTCTCCCCACGCCACACCCACTCCATGGGTCTCAGGCAGGTCTTTCCGGGTTTATTGAAGTCGCAGGCTGCACAACGCTCGTCGGTGGTGATGGCGCTGGGTTGCAGCCTGTAAGGGGTGGCGTTCATGGTTGAGAGTGGGTGATCAAATGAACTGTCAGTGGCAGGAATGATTCACACCTATCACTTGCCCGTGCAGTCCTTTCCGCACAAGGGAGCAGCTCAGATTATGATACAAACCTGTCATGCAGCGTCGGGGCAGCATCCTGTATGCAGTCTGCCGTCGGTCCACCACAACATCAAGCCCCGTCTTGCCTGTTGGTGAGGATGATGTTGGGGTACATGGCCGCCACATCCAGATGATAGATGAGGGGGGTCTCGTCCCTGATGGGGCAGTCTCGGAGCGCCTCCAGCTGGGTGGCTATTGCAGCTCTGATCTGCGGAAACCAAATGTTTACGAGGGAGCGAAGTTTGCACATGGTCCTGTCTGCAGAGGCAACCACATCTCTCAGTGGGCGGAGTGAGCTGCGCAGCTCCGTCATCAGTCCACAGCTGTGATCGACGCCAGCGATCGTAATCATCTCTTTGCAGAGCGAAGACTGCCCATGAAAGCAATAGGGACACTGCACCTCCACCCACCTCTGCATAGTTCGTCACGTCGCCCATGTCCATCTTCCCCTCCGTCTCGATTGCATACTTGAGGTCAGCGTCCAGGTTGTCCAGGAGCCCCTGAAGGGTGTGAATGGTGGGGGAAGAGAGCATGCCTGACCTGGTGGTGCCGACACATGCGACGCATGGCGAGGCAGCGCCGGGGCGATTGCCTGCCGCCGTCAGGAACGCGCCACATCCAGCACCCTCGGATGGACACTTCACAAAACTGCTGGGCCTTCAATGTCGCACCTGGTATGCAGCCGAAGAAAGACGGAATTTGCAGGGAATATCGCTGCGGAATACTCCTGGAAGTGGGGTGCCGGGAAGAGGGTTTAGGCCTGCTGGTCTGCTGCGCCTGACTCTGAGCTTCTCTGGCAAGCCCCAGTGCAACCACACCTCCTCACCAGACTCCAGTGCCTCGACCTTGCCGCCAATGTACGTCTCAGAATCCAGCAACCTGCCCCCATACATGTTCTCGGTGGAGGACGTGTGCTTGTTGGGAGCCACCACGTTGGCCTGCAAGCGAGATGCGGGTGTGATGTGAAGGTTTGAGCACATCCGGAGGATGTGAGCTCCAGGCAAAAGGCCCCGAGGCGGGCAGGGAGCCTTCCAACCGCACACCTTGTAGGCTTGGACCATGAGCAGCGCCTCACACAGCGTCCCCGACCCCTTCCGGAGCACCTCGTCAGGTGGCATTGGGATGATGGTTGCCAGACTGCGAGAGTGGGTCGTTGGTGGTTGGTGCCAGCGGTGGGACCGGATGGTGTGAACCCCAGATCTCGAGGGCAGGGAGGCGCGCAGGCCAGGGCACGCACGCTGCAAGGCCACGGAGCTCTACCACCTCGGGGCACTCACCTCAGGATGAAGGGGTGAACGTAGGTCATGTACAGGTAGTAGGTGGCTACTGCATCTGATACGCTGTAACTGGCCATGGATTGGGGCCTCTCCGCTGCAAAACGGACCTGGGCGGGGGCGGGGAGGAGTGGGGTGGGTGGGTAGACCATCCACAGCATGCTCGAGGTGGCGGAGAGTCAGGACCAGGCAGGGAAATTTGAAGTCGTCGCCCGGGCTGCATGTCGTCACACCCCGCATGGCCTGTCAGGCCCGACCATGCTGCTCCATTGGGTCGCCTCATCCCGCTCACCATATCTTCAGGATCCACCTCCACAGGGTCGTACCCCAGCTTGTATTTGGTGACCATCTGCGGGGTGCATGCAACATTGAGTATGAGGCTGGCAGCGGATGCAATTGGCGGCATTGTGTCCTCTGGACGAGCACGCAGACCTGTTGCTCTCACCTTGAGCCCACGAGAGCCTTGAGGAAGGTACGAGTCGCGGTTCACCCAGTGCATGCAGTCCATGTGCACCGCTGACCTGTTGCAGATGCAGCGGGGCCGGACATTGAGCAGTGGGTTTCCCTAGAATCGCCCCGCTAGGCCATGGGCATGCATCTTGGCTCGTGCACACGCCATTCCATTACACATCTTGCCGGACTGGGCAGCCAGTGGGAGCGTCGACAGCCAGACTGCACGCATCCTGCCGCACCTGAAGGCCCACCTACCTGCTCAGTGTCTCGTTGCTCACACGATTGCACCTGAACCCGATCTCGGCCCCCATGTCCAGCCCATGCTTATGTGCACGCGTCTCGATGAATGGCCAGTCGAAAAAGTCGCCGTTGTATGTCACAAAGATGGAGGGCTTGGTCTGCATGAGCACAGGGAGGGCAAGGGGAGGTTGGGATGCGGTGCTGGGATACAGCCGGGCCAGGGAGGACGGAATGTCTGCCGCGCGGCGAAGTGTCTGACCCTGGCGGGCTGGGCTGTTCTTGCCCACCCATCTGCGCCGGCCGCCACCCCACCGCTCACCTCCCGCATGTGCTCAAACCATTTCTTGAGCAGCGCGGCCTCATTCTCGCAGTTGAAGATGGTGAAAGGACCTGTGGTTGGATTATTGGAGGCAGGAGGGGCGGGCGACCTGGGGAGGGTGGTGTGGCTCGCCTCAGCAGGCGTCCAGGCATTGCACACCGCTCGCAGTCCCTCCCCGCACCTTCAAACTCCGGTTTGGGAGTGTACTCAAAGTCCTCGATGTCCTCGGCCACCACCTCCCTGTTGGTGATCAGGTACCCTTGGCGATCGATCATGTAGGAGATCATGAAGACTTGGTCGTGCTCGGCATTGGGGAACTGGAGGGGCAGCTTGGTGGTCTCGATGTCGAAGGCGCACACCCGTGCCTCCGCCCGCTGCACCATTTCGGGCCTGGGCTCCAGCGACATCCTCCCTTGCTGCACAGGGTGGTGCGGCGGAGAGGGCTGCCTGCGGATGACCAGCCGACAGCGGGCTGGTGTGCAGCCTGGGACTCCCCTCCCCACGACCGGCCGCTACACCCGCACGCACCAGCCGGCAGGGCGCCAGGCTGGGAGCTGCGAGACCACGCCAGCACCCCCCCGAGCCCGGAACCCTTCCCGCCCTCGCACCTGAGCCGAGACGGAGTACCACGCCCCACAGCGCACGTCGGTGTCGATGGCGAAGCGCACGTGGTGGGGGACGTCGTGCTCCCTCATGTCCAGCAGCGCGTCCTCGGCGCCCTGCGTGGGGCAGGGGAGGGGCTCGCCGCCGTGCGGAGGCTGGCGCAGAGAGGGGAAGACCCGCGAGGCCGGGCACTCCGATCCTGGGCGCAGGGCACGCGACACCCACCTGGCCCTTCCTGTTCCAGCGCCGCGACGACTCCTCGCCGGCCACCGAGGCTGTGCCCCGCTTGGACTTGTTGCGGTAGAGGATGGGCATGAGCTCCCGGCGGACCTGCAGGCACCGGCGGTGTGCGAGGGAGGGCGAGCTGGGCGGGGCGACATCCCTCGTTCCACGGCCCGCACGGGCTGGGGTTCCCGACGCTGCGCCCCCCTGGCCCCCACCTTGGACAGCTGATCCTGGGTGCGGAAAGACACGCGCAGGAGGGTGCGCTTCGCGCCCGACAGGTGGTTTTCCTGAGAGCGGGAGGGGGGGCGGCGGTTGGCGCGCAGTCCGAACCACCTCAGGCCAGCAGGGCGGATGGTCAGCATGCAGGCGGTGATGTCTTGCCAGACGATCACTGCTGGGTGCAGGCCCCGCTTCCAGACGCCCAGCGCCCAACACACAACACCACAGTTGTGCAGCTTGGCATCCCTGTGCCTCGGCCCCATTCTGAGCCGGGCCATCCTTACACACCAGATCAAGATCCTCTCGCTCCACCAGTTCAGTATCCAGGATCAAGCCCTCATGCTTGCGCCGCAGCCAGCTGTCCACCTCAGCCTCCTGCCCCGCCTGCAGAGGTAGAGTGAAGGGGCATGAAGATGCGGAGCATCCCGATTGGATGGAAGGGAGGCCGACCGAAAGTCAGGCTCACACTCAAGCAATCGCATACCTTGACGTGGAGGTAAAAGTAGGGGCTGAAGGGGAAGGCACTCCTGAACATGGTCCCATCCTGGGGGACAGGGGTGATTGTGGTGGCAGGGTGGCTCAGACGCCCGGCTGGACATCTTTCTCGATCATTGCAGGAATTTAGCGCTCAGAACTCGAGGCGGATGGACGCGAGACTACAGCTTGCGGGCGATGATCAACCACTCGACCCCTCTCCTTACAATTCCCAACATGTAGCCCACCTGGGAGAGGAAGTAGCCCATGATTGCACTGATTGCAGCATTAGAACTCTTGTCCACTGTCTGAACCTGCAAACACGTGAGGTCACAAAGGTGATGGTCGAGGCAGGGCCTCCTGTCGAGTTCATCAGCACGATCATTCCGTGTAAACACTTTGCTGCCCTACTGCATGTGGCATGCAAGCCTACCGTGTTGAGGTTCACAAGCCAGCCCAGACGGGGAGGCCCCGCCGAGTATTCTGTAAACCCCATCTGATCCTGCAAGGCAAGTTCCTCCTCCTGGAGGGACGATCGAGTGGAGAAACAGGCATGCTTGGCCAGGCGGAAGGCGTGTTTTGCAGGACCCATGGGCAGCATGCGTATCGTACCTCTTCTGCGGGGATGCCTGGGGCAGGTTCAGCATCATGTGCATGGCTGGAACCGTTGCCAATGTCGTTCAGTCGGCGTTTGCCACGGTCGTGCGTGGACCTGTGGGGCAAGGCGCTGAGAGCTGTCCTGGCAGCACCACAGTGGTCTGGGAGCTGCAGATTGGTGTCATTGTGATAACAAGTGAAGAGGCAGGGGTGGGGTCACACGCACCTGGCAGACGCATCCCGTGCTTTCATGTTCCCGCGATGTGCTCCAAAGGGCCTTGTGCCGCTGCCGGTCCCAGACATGGCGGGTGGCAGGGTGAGTGCTCAGCCAGGTTGACAGGCTTTGCGAGCTTGTCCTCGATTTCGGAACCCTGCTTGACGGGGGACTTGCAAATTGACGTTCTATAATTATCGCTCACAATGACATGACATAGGCAAGAGCAAATACGGGATGCGAGGTGAGCGTGGTCGCTGGAACGATGCCATTCGAGTTGAAGCGCGCCTGGGATTTCGAATTTGCATAGATGGTGAAGGTATAGGGCGCGCCCGCGCTCAAGTCCCCCTCGGAGGGTATGGTATACGACGGCATGTGTGACGCAGATTGCCGCGACAACCTCGAGCCAGTCACACCATCGAGCAGTCAAAGCCTTTGGCATACACATTCCAGGTTGATCTGCCTTATACCTTCCAATGAGCACGTCGGCGTGGGTGAGTTTCCGAGCACTGTTCAAGGCGACGCCCGCAAGGTTGGTTGCCAGCCCACTTAGGCAGTGTCACGTAGATTGAGCTCACTCAGATCCCCTCAGCACCCCTATAATTTGATTTAGGAAAAGCTTTGAATAACGGAGCCAGCAAGGCTTCTGCGGGCGGACCATGACGACGAGGCACAGGCTCGTCCGCGATGAGCAGCGTGCCACATTCTCCGGGAATGTGCGACTGTGGGAGAAACAGCCAACGCACTTGGGGAAAGAGGCTAATGTTGACATATTGGTCGTGGCATGGACCCCCACAGGTGCGGGTGCGCTGTGCAGGCCAGGGTTGTACTGGTTAACTCCGGATCGCAGGGAGGACTGCGACCTCGAAGCAGAGCCTATGCTTCCTGCGTGCCAACCTTACGCCCCTCCACTGACGCCCTTGGGCCCTCATGCCACAGAGAAGCGGAGGGACCCCCACTCCCTGAAGGACTCCATGTACAAGATCCCCTTGGCAACACGCGCAGAGCGGGTATGTAGGGTGCCTGGTGCTCAGCATTTCAGCCACACCGCTGTATGGGTAGCAGACTGAGATGTCTGGGGCCGGGTGCACATCACCTCTCTGGCGGGCCAAGGTTCGGACGGGGGGCAGGGATTGAAGTGATGGGCTGTGCATTATACTCTCCAAAGGAACAGAAGCTTATCAGCTCCGCCAAGAGCTCGATGCTTGTGACTCGGCTTGAGCAAGGCCAGAAACACTTTTCCAGCAGCGTTGCGCACAGTCAAATCGCGAAGTGACACCTCCCTTGAGCACCCTTTGTGCGTAGGAACGCCTGCAGAACCTGGCATCTGTCGTCACCAAAGCGCCCTCTGTGAAACTGAAGCTCAAGGTTCCCGCTCTGTTGTCGCAGCAACAGCCGTCACCCCCTTAGCCAGGGTTTCTGCACATTGCATCTCCTCTCTTGGTGCTCGTAGGCTCCAAGTCGTCATTGAGCCCCCTCCCACGGCCAGTCTTGTGGCAGCAGCTGTGTGTGTACATTGACTGAAATTTCTCCATCGTGCTTGCTGCCCCACCTACATATTTAAAGCATGGCCATGGCGTGTCATGCCATCTGTTGTTGTACAGCCTGGTATCCATACGGCAGAGCGGGCATGGTGCTCTGTCCTGCTGCCCAAATCCCTTGTATCGCCAGCAGGGCTGGGTTAGGCGCCACCAAGTCGGTGTAAGGCGACCCAGGAGGGGGTACCAAGCCCATGCTCTGCAAGGTCGGGAAGTGATCGGGTGTCAGGCTACGCTCGCATCTGAGTTCCAGGCACACAGTATTGTCATCAGTGTGTAGAGGGACATGCTACGCCCCCGAGTAATCACCCACGGCATCGCCCAATGGCGTGAGCACCGACCTGCAGCCGTTGCTTGCGCCGCGTGGACACCAGCAGCTGCCTGTCCTGAGGAGACAACTCGATCAGCCCTCCGGTCCCTTGCCCAGAAGCCCCGGCAAGCGCCGCTCGGTGTCCCTTGTCCGCTGCGAGAGTGTGAGTGGAACATGGTGAAAGTGCATGTGGGCATGGATGTGCAGGCGCTCAGTTCGGGGCCAGAGTGCGTGTAAGTCCTGGCTCACCCTCCGACTTCCTCGCTTTGCCCGTCTTCTGCTTGGACCTGCCCCCCGTACTCGCGGGCGCCTCGTAGAATGCGTCCGGCAGCATGCCTGGGGTGAGGGAAGAAGCGGACACGGCGTGCACTGGGAGCCAAGTGGACACCGTCCAGGCTCCAGTGCGACAGGGACGCTGCTGCCCAGACCCACAGGGTGTACACCCTACAATGCGCCCCAGGTCGCACCTGTGCGCTGGTACGCCATCGTCTCCTGGACAGACTCCAGGAACGACTCCTGGGAGCACTCTGCCAGGCACTGCTCCCGCCCCTGCAGGAGGAGCATGGACACCATTGGAGACCGCGCTTCACACGCCCCGCACCGGCGCATGCATGCACCGCCCCTCACCGGCTCCAGCCCGTCCTCACCTCCTCCCAGTCCATGATGGCACGCTTGCTCCCGATCCACGAGAAGTCATGGGTGCCGAAGAAGCGCACGGGCACGGCGTTAGGGCGTGGCGGCTCCTCGCTCGGAGGGAACGACAGGTCCCTGCCCCGCGTCAGCACCTTTGCCGGCCACCAGGGGTACGCTCCGACCTTGGCCCACACCAGCCGGCCGCCAGGGTCGGTGCGGGGCGAGCGAGGGGGCGCGTCACCCTCGATCGCAGGGGCCGGGGCGGAGCCCCGATCCGGGACAGGCACAGGGGTGGGGATGCTGTGTGTGGCAGGAGCCTCAGGTGCAGTGCTTGGATGGTAGTCGCGAGGGCTTGCGGCAATGGGCTGGGCGGAGCCCGGCCCAGCCGCCATGGGAAGGGCTGCTGGGGCGCGGAGCGGCGCAGGCTCTGCCGTCATGTGTGGCTGCATGGCCCCCTGAGGGGCTGCGTGGGAGCTTGGCACACTCGCAGGAGGCTGCGCAGGCGCTGCAGCTGGTCGAGGGGCCGTTCCTGAGGGGGGAGGGCCGATGGCATGGCCGTAGGCGCCCGTCATCTGCCCGGCCATGTACTGGTGTTGGATGAAGCGCTGGGCAGCAATCTGCTGCGCTGCGAGGACCATGGCCGGGTTGTTGAGGAGGTGGGAGGGGATGCCGCTCACTTCACTCAAGCTTGAAATGTTCGAGAAAAAGGGCATCATGCCCGGGAGCATGCCCGGGATGGAGGCGGGGACACCGGGCGCCTGAGCGGGGGCTGCCTCCACTCCAGGGGAAGGACTGGCTGCAGCAGTCCCGCCCGCATCGTGGTGGTTGCTCTGCATATTCAACGAGTGCGATCCCGGCCAAACCGATGGGGTTTCTTGGCCGGGAGTTCCGCAGCGCAGAAGTTTTTCAAAGGAGGAGGAACGTGCTGCGCATGTCGAGCGAGCGATCCTGGTTACGCTTCCACTCAAATCCTTGCGAGTATGGCAGTAGTGCAAACTACGTCTCACTCATCCCCTTCTCGTACACCGCCCCGTTGCTCATGCTGAGGCACCGTGACAGGTCGAGAAGCTGTGTGCCGAAGGGTGACGCACTTTGCACCTTTTCAAGAGTCACCTCGTCGTCTAGTCCCACACGATGGGAGGCCCGCAACGACATCCTGCTCCAGAAAGCCCTAAAACACACTATCATGCCGATTTTGACTCGCGAGCCCAATTTGGAGAGCCCAGAGGGCGGTGCGCTCGTGCCGCTGCCCTGGTGGAGCACAGTCCGTGCATGGATGCGCTGTAACGGGGTCGCCCTGGGGGCGGGAGAGGTAGAGAGTTCTTGGGGCACTCTGCCTCCGGTCTCAATGGTTCAGGTACGACCTTACTCTGTCAATGTGCAACATAACCTACAGACTGTCAGGAATAAGGCCATTACAACGTAAGTCGGTGGGTATTTATACCCAGGGGGGGCAAGTGTCCCTTGGTCCAAGGTTGTCATGTGAGTGGTCGCAACACATAGTGATGGTGCCGTGGGAAGGCAAGTCAGTTCCAAGTCATAGGTGGGAGTGGACTGTGGAACAGGCAGAGATGGGATGGTTCATAGGGGACGGGTGGACTAAGGGTGTTGTGCATGACGAGCGAACTCCCGTTGCAGGAGCCATACCCCCCGGCCCCATTACATGGCAAGCCCAAAAGGTCGGCGATATTACCACCCTAGGGGACGTCCCACCCAACTCATCTTATCAGGTCTGGTTGAGGATGCTCGCAGATGGTACCCAACGCTCTGCATATCGTCCAGCCCTTGTCCCATTTCTGCTGTTGTCGTTGAGTGCGGGCTCTCTCGCCCTTCCCGTGCGGTCCCCTACCTCTCCTTGCATCGCTACTGGGATCGTGCGACCTCTTCTTGAGTCGTGCTGCATGAAGGAATGAGGCACAAATCCGATGCATGGGAACACGCCATGGGGAGAAGGAAGCATTACGTCCTGGACCTAGGAAGGGTTCGGCTCGTGCATTCTCACATTTTGACCAGGCTATACAGAGACTCGAAGATTGTGGTGAGTGGTGAATGATGGGGAATCGGAAGACTTCTCAGGGGATGCTGATTTCAGGGCGTTCTCAGGCCGCAAGCTCATTGGCAGTGTTTGCAAGGACTATAACAAGGATGGTATTTCATGAAGTCTGGCCTGACAAGATGGATCTGTTCACCATCCGTAATGATTTGACGTGTGGATGAGCATGGACTTTTACAGTTTACATCCCATTTTGTGGTGCTGGTCAGCGTAGGGCACCCACGTTGCCAGCAGTATGGACCCCAGTTTCTCAGATCTCACCAGCTGGGATCTCCCCTATTCCACTCACTGCTGCCCAGCTGCCCTTGCACACTCCAGGGTAGCGCTACGGAATAAAACCAGCATGAGATCAAGACATGTTCATATCTCTCATGGCGGTTGGCATGCTCCATGCTGCCACATAGCAGTTGCCATTGCTGGCTGTCGCATTGGTCGCACCACATCATGATGACGATATGTTGCCATTGTCAAGCCTACTGGTCACATGCAAGCCTGTATTCACCCAGGGCTAGGCATGGGAAATTTGAGCGGAGGACAAGATAGAGGGGCATGCCCCTGCCGACCGCACGGGAGCACAAGGATGGAAGCTGGCCGATGTACATCAGTCTTCCGGCCATACCTACATACCGGCGTCGACCAGAGCTGTTGTGGGGGGGTTCCCTTGCCCGGGCCCTCTCCCCCATTTTACACCTATTCCCGCTCTGCCCCGAGTCCACGCCGCTTTGCGAAGCCTATGAAACCCGACCATCACACTGCATTCGGGGTCCACCTGTACCATTCCTAATTCAGGTCATATACAGCGGTCCACCGTTGTGGGGGCTTGCCAGCCCCCACAACAAGAGCCATCAAAGGCCCATATCTCAACACTCACAGCCAAGGGGCCATCGTAGAAGTAGCACACTGGGCTCGCCCAGCTCCTAGATACCGCAGGCCTGTGTTGTGGGGGCCCCCTCTCCGGAGTCTTCCCCCCTTTCCACCTGCAACCGTGCCCTGTGCCGCGCCTATGCCACCTGGCACCGTGCCTAAAACCCAAGCCCCTCACTGCATCCGGGGTCTCGTCTGTAACATTCCTACTTCAGGTCATATACAGCGGTCCACCGTTGTGGGGGCCAGCCTGCCCCCACAACAGCAGGTCAGGAGCCGCGCGGGAGGGCTGCTTGCCTCCAGGTTAGAGTGTGGTCTCTGGTCAGTGTGATCATGCGAGGAGGGATCCCCGCCCCTCAGGCGAGTGTACATGTGTCTCCAGCACTCCCACTCTGAGTGGCTGCCCCTTGTGGATGCTCTAAGCTGTACTATCAGATCGCAAGATGAAGAATCTTGTGATATTCTCATCCCCAGCACGGAAAGCAGGCAGGCAGCACTTGGACTTGAAGTCGCGATATCGTGGTGACCCTCCCCTCATTCTGAGGTTGCATGACGGGAGTGTTGAGGTCTTAAGTCACGCATACCCTCGCCGCGCCTGGCTCGGCATACAAAGCTCGCGCTCGATCTAACTGCCCGCCAGAATACGAAGATTGCGTAGCCCTGTGAAGTTTCTCGGAGATTAGGTGCGCTGCAAGCACCCTTCACCAGAATGGCAGGTATAATTCGTGTGCCTATCACGTTCAGTTTTCTAGCAGGTAGAATCGCAAGTAGTACAGAGTCATGCCGCTCTCTTGCCACTCCGCACCCTCGTTCTCACGGATCCGACATGATCCTGGCAGGTGTCGCGGTCCCCGGCGCATCTTCTGCCGGATCATGCCCCGATTGAGCTTTGGTTTATCATTCGTATCGCCGATACAGTGCCTTGGAAAGTGATACGTTAGAGTGGTCTGCAAAAGGAGGAGAACAGCCGTGCTCAGCTACCCACCCTGAAGCTGTGTCGCCTTTGGTAGAAGCTACACCCAGACCGGAGTCCGACAGCCAGCTAGTACCGTCAAGATAGCGGATTGCGAATCTTATAACTTCAAGGACGTCCTGTCGGACCTAGACATGTGTGATCGTCAGATCCAGAGGTCCAAGTCAAGTCCCCCTTGGATTCGGCATGCGTGCGGCGACGGGGCTAGGGTACGGCGTTCGACCGGCATCACGGTATTCGTGATCTTGCTGGCGCGGACTTGGCAAGTCCCATGCGGGCTTCTCACGTTGTCCCAGATCGTCGGTTTCCGGATTCCAAAGTCGTGATGTACCATGCATGCACTTTCCAACAGGGCGTAGAATGCAAAAATATTTACGAGTTTGGTCTATTGCATCTGTGGTGCCACTCATTAGCAGTCACCATGATGCACCATGGGTCTCTGGCCCTCATCATGGCATGCCTGCTCCTTGCGGCACCGACCTCGGGAAAATCGGTCTTGTCTAGGTGAGTGGGTAACAGGACAGAGCTTGTTGAGGGAAGCGACCTAAATCCCTCACTTTCCGTGTCATTGGTCGATGGCGATTCGAGCATGGAGCGGCCGATGCGGCCTAGTAGGGTATGTGTTGAGAGTCGCGGATGCCACTGTATCAACAAGAATAAAGCACCATCGATTCTCGGTCAGCGGCGCAGAAAGCTTTTGGGAGCCGTCAGCCTTGCCGGTACATCGGATGGCACGGTGGAGGGTTCGGGTTCGGCAACCACAGACTCAGGCTACAGCGCATCCGGACAAGTCGCGGGGTCGGCCTCCGGCAACAATGCGCTAGCCGAGGCGGGATTGGAGGCCACCACCAGTGGAAGCGGATCGAGCATCGACGGGTTCGGAAGTGGATCGGTAAGTTTCGGCGGCAAGAGCACACACCTTGAAGGGTGTATGCGCTCATCATAATCTCCTTCTGTGTCAATGTGTTTTTAATCGAGGCACGATCATTTTCGGCATCTGATTTGCTCCACACTTCATGCCTACTACATCCTCCCTCTGCAGGCGGAGAGCGATGGCAGTTTCACGGCTCAGACATCCGGCAGCTTCTCTGGAGTTGCAGCAGGTCCTGGCAGACTGGCCGAATCGAATTACAATGCATTCTCAGAGTCGTCCCAGCCTGGGCCTGTGAGCGCCGAAGGATCTGGCGCAGCTGCTGCGGACGAAACTGGGGCTACGGTGAGCTGCGATTCATGATCGATGGTGTGTTCGTGAGGTGTCCTTTAGGAATTAAACTCGTGCAATACATACCTTGGCTCCTGTCCAATCCCACAGGCTTCGGGCAGCAGTACATCGGAAGCCAATGGGATTACCCAGATCATAACAGGATCTGCTTCAGGAACCACAGGTGCTCAATCATCTGGGAACACCACGATCGCTTCACCTGCACCGTCTGGCGGATCGCCAACTCCAGAGGGCTCCCCCAGCCCAGGGCCAACTCCTAGTCCCTCTCCCGGTGGAGAAC